GAACTTGCCCCAATAGTTTGTTAAGGTTATACGGGGGGTCTTTGTCTTTGGTGTGTAAGTGGTAGTGTTTGCGTGAGCGCGCTGCGCTACGAACCCGGCGACCCGAGTTCGATTCCCGCTCACGACCAATATCAGTGACGATTATGTGAACTGGTCATGGACCTCCCCTAGGTCGACTCAGTCTCAATTGAGCACCTGGCGCGGTGTGTAAAACATCATCACTGGGGAGACAAAGACGGCTGGGCGTGTTGTTAACCGTCCACCTCCTCGTGTGCCGTGCCGGCCTTCATAGGTGCTCGCTCACAGCACTTGCCCCAACAGTCTGTTTAACGGGGGATTTGTGTCTTTGTGTGCGGGGTGAATGGGTATGCAGGAGTTCGTGGGTTCGATCCTGACCCTGACGCCTGCTGCTGTATATTTGGAGTTTGCGTGTCTCTCTCATCATCATCATCACGGTGGCTAGGAGATGTTAACTACCTCGCCTGGTATGCAGGAGTTCGTGGGTTCGATCCTGACCCTGACTCCTGCTGCTGTATATTTGGAGTTTACGTGTAGTTGCGTGGATTTTTCTCCGGCTCCTCCGCTTTTTCCCTCTACATTTAGAAACACGCTCTGAGAGTATTTAGTTGCGATACATTTACACACGACAAGCCACTTCGTTGAGCAGTCACTTGTGACCAGGTCGCTTCTGAAAAAGAGCTACATAGCTCAGTGGGCCTTAGCTGGTAAAATATAAATAAAATAGTTTAGTGTGTGTGGCATGTGTGTGGGGTGTAGTGTGTGTGTGTTGTGTGTAAGATATCTGGATGGTTGTACATGGAGCGTGCATGAATTCGCTTGAGTGTTCCAACTGCAATCCGCTCGGAGTTGCATTGATTGGGTTGCCGTGGTTTGCCACGAGATGCCATGAGCTGGCGGACGGATCTAAGTTGAATGTGTTGGGTTGTTCGTTATCGTATCAGCGCGGTCTCAGTAACAACGGAGACCTGGGCTCCATCAAATAATCAGAGTTTATCCCGGGAATTTGGGATCAAACATTCGATAACGATCGCAGCTAATGTATAATAATTATTAGAGGTAGGAGCAGTAGCGCAGTGGTTAGCGTACTGCACCACGAACCCAGCCAAATGTTTACCAGTGTACGTATATGTGTGTGCAAGAGTGTACGTGTGCATGAGTGTGAGTGTGTGTACATGTGGGGGGAGGTGGCTTAGTGGTTAGCGAACTTGGCAACTCGAGTTCCATTTCCGCCCGTGACCAACAACAGTGGCGACTATTTGAACCAGTCCTGGGCTTCCCCTGGGTCGACTAAAAACGAGTACCTGGTGCGTGATGTACACATCAGTGGCCGGGTGTGGTGCTGGCCACCAACCACCTCATGTGCCCGTGCCGGCCTTCATATTTGCTCACTAACAGCACTTGCCCAAAAAGTCTGTTCAAGCTATCTGGGGAATCTTTTTATATCGGTATGTGTGTGTGTATGTGCCTGGAGCGGTCGCGCATTGGTGAGCACACTACGCTATTAATCCAGCAACCAGAGTTCGATTCCCGGCCACGGCTACCATCAGTGGCGAGTGATATAAAAATCTGTTCTGAAACCTCCCGTCGGTCAATCCAACGATAAGATGAGTACCTTGCGTCCACATCAGCCCTGGGGAGACAAAGGCTGGCGAGCCCAGGTGCTGGTCACACCACCCCGTCCCTCCATATGTCTTCTCTAACAGCACCTGCACATAAGTCGTGGAGAAGTATCGCGAAATAACCCGGGAGACCTTCATCCAGCAGTGGATTGCATGCTCCGTGCGTTAACGCGGCCGTGGTGCGATGCCTAGCAGCGCACTGGACATGCACTCCAGACGTCGCCGTCCAATTCGATCTCCTGGCGCGGCAGGCAATTCAACCTGGAAGAGTAGACGAATTGCCGTGGAAGAGTAGGACAATTACCCGCTAGAGTAGCGGCGTGAGCAGTTGCAGGACTGTCACTCTGCCTGCCGTCGTACTCGTGATACACACAACTGTGCAACGCAATGAAGGGCCGGTCGCTGGCGTGCATCTAGCCTGGTACGAAACGTTATTACCACCCCCCTTGAAAAGGGCTGTGAAATCGAGCGTCTGTTGAATACGCCACGTGGTGTTCCGTTCAACAGCGCGGAGCAGTGGCGCAGTGGTTAGCGCCCTGTGACATACTTCACCATAATGGTCAGTGCGTAATGGTCTCTCGGCCTTCCAAAACATCATCAGAATTGACATCACTCACTCAGCTCTCTCGCCATTCTAAAACATCACCAGAATTAACATCACTCACTCAGCTCTCTAGCCCTTCAAGAACATCACTAGAATTGACATCAGTCACTCAGCTCTCTCGTCCTTCTATAACATCACCAGAATTAACATCACTCAGCTCTCTAGCCCTTCAAGAACATCACTAGAATTGACATCAGTCACTCAGCTCTCTGGCCTTTCAACAACATCATCAGAATTGACATCACTCACTCAGCTCTCTGGCCCTTCTAGAACATCACCAGAATTAACATCACTCACTCAGCTCTCTGGCGCTTCTAGAACATCACCAGAATTGACATCACTCACTCAGTTCTCTAGCCCTTCTAGAACATCACTACAATTGACATCACTCACTCAGCTCTCTGGCCCTTCAAGAACATCACCAGAATTGACATCACTCACTCAGCTCTCTGGCCCTTCTAGAACATCACCAGAATTAACATCACTCACTCAGCTCTCTGGCCCTTCTAGAACATCACCAGAATTAACATCACTCACTCAGCTCTGTAGCTCTTCTAGATCATCACCAGAATTCCCATCACTCACTCAGCTCTCTGGCCCTTCTAAAACATCACCAGAATTAACATCACTCACTCAGCTCTCTGGCCCTTCAAGAACATCATCAGAATTAACATCACTCACTCAGCTCTCTAGCTCTTCTATAACATCACTAGAATTGACATCACTCACTCAGCTCTCGATCCCTTCTAAAACATCATCAGATTTGACATCACTCACTCAGCTCTCTCGCCTTTCTAGAACATCACCAGAATTGACATAACTCACTCAGCTCTCGATCCTTTCTAGAACATCAGATTTGACATCACTCACTTAGCTCTCTCGCCCTTCTAGAACATCACCAGAATTGACATCAGACACTCGCTATCGACGATGTGGCTTGACAATAAACCAATCGCACGTCACAAATGACTCGCCGCCGCCGCATCATAACAGAAGCCACTAGGAAAACATGTCATTAACATGTGTGTATGTTTGTGTGTGTATGAAAGTATATGTGTGTGCAACTGTGTGTGTGTATGTACGCGAGTGGGAAACGGTAGTGTAGCGGTTAGCGCTACGCTGCGCTATGAACCTGGCGACCCGGGTTCGATTCGCGCTCACGGCTAATACCAGTGACGAATATCTGAACCGGTCCTGGGCCTCCACTAGATCGACTCAGCCTCAAATGAGTACCTGGTGCGGTGTGTAAACATCGCCACTGGGGAGACAAAGGCGGTCGGGCGAGGTGCTGGCCACCCACCCCCTCGTGTACCGTTCCAGCCTTCACAGGTGCTCGCTAACAGCACTTGCCCCTACAGTCTGTTAAGGCTATATGGGGGATCTTTGTCTTTGTGCGCGAGTGTGCGTGTATCTATGTGTACATATCCGTGCTATTGTTTTGACGGATATATCTCTTTACAGCCTTGTTAATCGCACTTCCGATAAGCACGGTCGGCTACGTACGGCGCGAAAGAAGTTATGCATGTGTACAAGTGTGTACGTATATGTGTGTATGTCTGTGTGCGCGTGTGTCTGTATGTTTATATACGGGGAGCGGTAGCGCAGCGGTTAACGCTACGAACCCGGCTGCCCAAGTTCACGGGCAATAACATTGGGCAACATCTGAATTGGTCTTGGGACTCTCCTAGATAGACTCCGCCTCAAATGTGTACCTGGTGTGGTGTGTAAGCTTTGCCATTGGGGAGACAAAGGCGGTCGGGCATGATGCCCCCTCCCCCATACCTCGTGTGCCGTGCCGACCTTCATAGGTGCTCGCTAACAGCACTTGCCCCACTAGTATGTCCAATGATATATGGGGGATCTTTATCTTTGTTATGTTAATATTCGCATGCGAGTGTGCGTATGAATGTGTGCAACTATGCCTGTGTGTATATGTGTGTGTGTGTGTGCGAGTATTTATATTTACGTTTACGTATGGGTGCGCGTGTGTGTATATGTGTGTGTGTGGGAGTGTTTATATTTACGTATAGGTGCGTGTGTGTGTATATATGTGTGTGTGTGCAACTGTGAATGTGTGGGGGAATGGGCGTTCCTGTGTATGTACGTGGGGAGCGGTGGTGCAGCGGTTATCGCACTGCGCTATGAACCTGGCCACCCGGGTTCGATTCCCGCTCACGGCCAACACCGGTGACGATTATCTGAACCGGTCCTGGGCCTCCCCTAGGTCGACTCAGCCTCTAACGAGTCCCTGGTGTGGTGTGTAAACGTCTCCACTGGGGAGACAAAGGTGGCCGGGCGTGGGGCTGGCCACCCATCCCCTCGTGAGCCGTTCCGGCCTTCATAGGTGCTTGCTAACAGCACTTGCCCCAACAGTCTGTCAAAGCTATACTGGGGTCTTTGTCTTTGTACTTGTCAGTACACACATGTGCGTATACTGCACATGCAAGCGTGTATGTATATGTTTGTGTGTATGTACACATATGTGTATACTGTGTTGTATATGTACGATCAACGTGTGTGTATGCATGTATGTGTTACATGTAATATTACATGTAATATTACATATAATATTACATATCCAGCAGCTCCACTTTGGAAGCTGCTGGATGAATGGGATCTCCGCGCTGTGTCAGTCATTGTTTGGTCATACTTCACCACTCTGGCCACCACCCCGGGTTGGTAACGGGGTTTGGCTAGAACCCGTTCACATATCACTCGCCACTGACGTTAGCCGTGGACTCGAGTCGAACTTGGGCGACTCGGGTTTCATAGCTATAGCAGCGCACATAACACAATCTCTCAGCCGTGGCTATCGTACGTGTGTACGTGTGTACGTGTGTGCGTGTGTGCGTGTGTACGTGTGTACGTGTGTACGTGTGTGCGTGTGTACGTGTGTGCGTGTGTGCGTGTGTGCGTGTGTGCGTGTGTGCGTGTCTATGTATTATGTATGCGACTGTGTGTCTACATATATATGTGTGTGTGTATTATGCATATGTTGGTGCAGTGATGTGTATGTATGAGGCGCATGCATTGTTGTATGAGCTATGCATAATGCATAACTTTGTTCACGCAAACTGTGTATACACACATTGTGTGTGTATACACAATACAATGTGTGTACGCACACGTTATGTGTACACACATTATATTGTGTGTACACACATTGTGTACATACACACATTGTGGGAGTGGTGGCGCAATGGTTAGCGCACTGCGCTACGAACGAAATCCGGCGGACCCCAGTTCGATTTCCCGCTCACGACAAATAGCAGTGGCGAATATACGAACCAGTCTTGGGCTTCCCCCTAGGTGGGCTCAGCCGTAACCGAGTGCCTGGTGCGGTGTGTATGACATCCACAATGGGGAGATACAGGAGGCCGAGCGTGGTGCTGACCCACCAACCCTGTGTGCCGCTAACAGCACACCGACAATCCGTTCAGACTCTGTGTGTGTGTAGCGAGGCGGGAGCGGTGGTGCAACGGTTAGCGCGCTGCGCTACGAAACCAGACACCCGGGTTCAATTCCCGCTCACGACCAACACCAGTGACGAATATCTGAACCGGTCCTGGGCCTCCCCTAGGTCGACTCAGCCTCAAATGAGTACCCGGTGCGGTCTGTAAACATCGCCACTTGGTGCTAACTACCCGCCACGTCGCTTGCCGTGCCGGCCTTCACAGATGCGATTCGCGAACAGCACTTGCCCCTACAGCCTGAGTAAGGCTATAGTGGAATATTTGTCTTTGTGTGTTCGTTTGTGTGGCTCGTCCCTGCCCGCCTTGACACCCCCGTCTGCTGCGCCCCCGCAGGTGGTGGCACTGGGCGACGTTCCGGACGGGACCCTGGTGGGAGTCATGGCCGGGAACGACGAGAACTACTCGGCCGAGCTGCGCAACGCGTCGGCAGTGATGAAGAACCAAGTGGCGAGGTTCAACGACCTCCGATTCGTGGGCAGGAGCGGCCGAGGTGTGTGACCGATCACGTGGTGCACTGGCTGTTCTAGAAATCGATGGATCGATTTTTATTATTATTTATATATATATATAAGTCTGGCGTTCCGTTTGTCCATTTGCCAGTCAACGGGATTATAAGAGCCTTTCAGAAAGCCTGGATCAAAAAGTTATAGAAAGTGGACCCCCCTCCCGCCCCTTCTACTCAGATGTGGGAGTCAAAAGTTGATCCAACAGGACAACAGAGTCAGTAGTATCTGCACGGGTGGGTGGGGGCATCAGTAGGGGCAACTGGCGAGGGGCAAAGCGTCGAGAGAAGCTCTCCGCAGGAGTTAGATTAAGGCGGCCGCAGGCCGGACACAATTCTAGTTACACACAAAGTGTCCATCACGCTAACAGCGGACAATCTCGCAATAGCGGCTTTTGTCTAACCAACGAGCTAAGACCGTCACTGCATCACGCACTTCCAGATGCGCTTCTATGGCCGTCTGGGACGCTCTTCCTTACGCTATTAGGAAGCCGCTGGAGATATATCGACTCAAACTCATTTCTTTAAAACTGCTTTTTGTATTTGGATTGTTGTCCTTTCCCCGCATCATCGATTAGCACGGTTGACTATATACGGTGCGAGAGAAGTTCCACATACATACATACATGTGTTGCACTTGTGTGTTCCACCAATCACGTGGTGCACGGCGTGTTCCACTAACCGCGGTTTTCACTAACCACGTGGTGCGCTGGGTCCCAGCCACCACGTGCGTTCTCAACACCGCACGTCTCGTCTTGTTACCAAGTCTCTTGCCGCTCAACCTACCACATGTTCAACCACGATACACAACGTGTCTCACCGCGTGTTCCAACTATCGACGCCTTCACTTTGGAAGCTGCAAAACATTTTATTTTTATTTTACAAGGGTAAGGCACCGTGAGCTCGATAGCCTCTTTTTTTCAGAAGCGACCTGGCCACAAATGGGAGCTCAACGAAGTGGCTCATCACGTGGGCATTTATAGCCGCAGCGAAATACTCTAAACGCACGTTTCTAGATGTGGAGGGAAAAAAAAACAGAACTCGGAGAAAAATTCACACGGGAGAGAGAGAGAGAGAGACACGCAAACCCCAAATATAGAGCAGGCTTCAGGGTCTGGATCGAACCCACGACCTCCTGTATATCAGGCGAGGGAGTTAACATCTCCTAGCCACCGTGGTGATGATGATGATGATGATGAGAGAGAGACACGCAAACTCCAAATATACAGCAGCAGGCGTCAGGGTCGGATCGAACCCACGACCTCCTGTATACCAGGCGAGGGAGTTAACATCTCACTACCGCGGCAGCCAGAGAAGAGAGACGAGAGCAGAAAAAAGCAAGAGGGGGGCAGAAGGAAACACCAAAAGTGGAAAAAATTATCTCGGCGACTCGAGGTGTTCACGTTGATTCTAGATTTGAAGTTTTCGTGACTGAAAGTATCCATGCTTTTTGTTTTTTTCGGTAAAGTCACGTAGGTGAAAAACTAAATAAATGAGAATGAAAACAACTAAATTAAATCACGACGTTTCGGGCGCAACACAAGCGTCCTTCATCAGGTGGGGACCACCACAGCGAAAACAATCGCTGTAACAAGGGATGAATCCCTTGTTACAACCATCTATTTGGCATACTTCGTTGTGGTGTTCCCCACCTGATGAAGGACGCTTGTGTTGCGCCCGAAACGTCGTGATTTAATTTAGTTGTTTTCATTCTCATTTATTTTGTTTTTTTACCGACGTGACTTTACCGGAAAAAAAACAAAAAGTGTGTGTTCACGTTGCTCCGGCTGCGTGGGAAGACAGAAACACGGAGTCGCCGAGTCATGGAGACGCAGAGACGCAGAGAGACAAAAACACGCAGAGAGACAAAGAGAGCGGGCGGCACATTGACGTGAACACATTTAGCGAACGGAGACCGAACGAGACAATGAGTTGCAGGTTGGCGAGGATGATGATGATGGATGGCGTCGAGAGCTTTGCCAAACTTCCGAACTCACGTGCCATTCCAGCTACGGCAGTACAGCAAGTGGGTTAGTGACACCGCCAGTGTAGCGGACCCTTGTAGCGAGCAGCGTGTGGAGTGCGCGTGTCGGTGAGCACGTGGGGAAGAGGAAAGTGCATCGGTCAGCGCGCTGCATTAATGGATTCGATTCCAGCTCACGGCCAACATCAGTGGCGATAATCGGAACCGGTCTCGTGCCTCTCCTAGGTCGTCTCAGCCTCAAACGAGTACCTGGCGGAGTGTTTAAACATCGCGACTCGGGAGACACAGGCGGCCGTGAGTGTCGTTGGCCACCCACCCCCTTGTGTAGCGTGCTGGTCTTCACATGTGCTCAAAGCACTTGTCCCAACAGTCTGCTGAGGCTATACGGGGGATGTTTGTCTTTGGGGTGAGCGGGTGGGGAGCGGTAGCGCAGCGGTTATCGCAGTGCGCTGCCAACCCGTCGACCTGCGTTCGACTCCCACTCACGGTCAACACCAGTGACAGTCCTGGGATTCCCGTAGGCAGGCTCAGCCTCGAATTAGTACTGTACCTGGTGCGGTGTGTAAACATCGACCCTGGGGAGGCAAAGGTGGGCGGCGTGTCGCTTGTCACCCCACCTCCTCGTGTGCCGTGCCGGCCTTCATAGAGAGATGCTACTCGCTAGCAGCACTTGCCTCAACCCAACAGTCTGTTCAGGCTATACGGGTGACCTTTATCTTTGTGAGTGAGCAGACTGGCAGAGTGTGCCCACGGGTGAGTCGCGTGCGGGTGGGGGAGAGGGTGAGGATGTCCCTCCTCTGTGGTTTGAGAAGTTCCTCTGATCCGCTCCGGCGCGGTTATGCGGTCATGCGACGCGGTTATGCGGCGATGCGGTTCGCGGGCTGCGGTGTGTGCGGTGTGACACACACGTGGTCTGCGGTGGTCGTGGTTTTGGCTGCAGCAGCCGCCGCCCCGGGTGGGTGGTGGCGCGGGACGTCAACCCCGACCCACCCGAATTCGATTCCCGGCCACGGCCAACGTCAGCGTCAGTGTGCGTTTCTTCGTGGGAGCGGTGGCGCAGCGGTTAGCGCGCTGCGCTACGAACTAGGCCACCCAAATTCGATTCCTGTTTGCCGCCAACGTCAGTATCAGTGTCTGTGTGTCTCGAGCTCGATTCCTGACCACGGCCACCAACACCAGTGGCGATTATCTGAACCAAGTCTGGGCCTCCCCTAGGTCGAATCAGCCTCAAATGTGTACCTGGTGCGGCGCTGTAAACATCGCCACGAGGGAGATTAAGGCGGTCGGGACTGGCCCTGGCCACTCACTCCCTCGTGTGCTGTGCCGGCCTTCATAGGTGCTACTCGCTAACAGCACTTGTCCCAGAAGTCTCTTTAGGCTATACGGGGTTGTCTCTGCCCTGATCTCTGTCTGTCTGTCTCTGATCTCTGTCTGTCTGTCTCTGTCTCTGATGTCTATCTGGTTGTCTCTGCTCTGATATCTATCTGTCTGTCTCTGCCCTAATCTCTATCTGTCTGTCTCTGTCTCTGATCTCTGTCTGGTTGTCTATGCTCTGATGTCGGTCTGTCTCTGTCTCTGATGTCTATCTGTCTGTCTCTGCCCTGATCTCTATCTGTTTGTCTCTGCCCTGATCTCTATCTGTCTGTCTATGCTATGATCTATGTCTAGTTGTCTCAGCTCTGATCTCTGTCTGTCTGTCTCTGTCTCTGATCTCTGTCTGTCTGTCTCTGATCTCTATCTGGTTGTCTCTGTTCTGATCTATATCTGTCTGTCTCTGCTCTGATCTCTGTCTGTCTGTCTCTGATCTCTATCTGTCTGTCTCTGCTCTGATCTCTCTCTGTCTGTCTGTCTCTGCTCTGATCTCTGTCTGTCTCTGTCTCTGATCTCTATCTGGTTGTCTCTGCTCTGATCTCTATCTGTCTGTCTCTGCTCTGATCTCTATCTGTCTGTCTCTGCTCTGATCTCTGTCTGTCTCTAATCTGATCTCTGTCTGTCTGTCTCTGCTCTGATCTTTATCTGGTTGTCTCTGCTCTGATCTCTGTCTGTCTTTGCTCTAATCTCTATCTGGCTGTCTCTGCTCTAATCTCTATCTGGCTGTCTCTGCCCTGATCTCTACCTGGTTGTTAATTTTCTACGCTGTCTTCGAATTGCTTCATCGCTGTACTTAATTTTGCGTGTTTTTTGCTTTGCTATTTCAGTAACCCAGGTCGCTCTTGCAAATGAGACTCCTCCATCCTGCTATCCTGGAGCCCTTGAGCTCTCACCTGGGAACCCAAATTCAGCTTGAACCTTGAACTCCCCTTCCTTTGTACTACCCCACCCCGCGTGCCCCCCCCCCACCCCTCCCGTGCCCCCCCCCACCTCTCCCGTGCCCCCCACCACCCCTCCCGTGCCCACCCCCACCTCTCCCGTGCCCCCCCCCCACCTCTCCCGTGCCCCCCCCCCACCTCTCCCGTGCCCCCCCACCTCTCCCGTGCGCGCTGCAGGTAAAAGCTTCACCCTGACCATCACGGTGTTCACGAGCCCCCCGCAAGTCGCCACCTACCACCGCGCCATCAAGGTCACGGTGGACGGGCCTCGCGAGCCCAGACGTGAGTCACGTACCACGTGTGTGCCGTCACGCGTGTGTGTGTAAGTGTGTGTGTGTGGGGAGCGGTGGTGTAGCGGTTAGCGCGACGCTGCGCTATGAACCCGGCGACCCGAGTGTCGATTTCCCCGCTCACGGCCAACACCGGTGACGATCATCTGAACCGGTCCTGGGCCTCCCTTAGGTCGACTCAGCCTCAAATGAGTACCTGGTGCGGTGTGTAAACATCGCCACTGGGGAGACAAAGGCGGTCGGGCGTGGTGCTGGCCACCCACCGCCTCGTGTACCGTTTCGGCCTTCATAGGTGCTCGCTAGCAGCACTTGCCCCTAGAGTCTGTTACAGGCTATAGGGGGGAACTTTGTTTTTTTGTGTGTATGTGGTTATGTGTTGTTTGTCTTTGTGTGCTTACGTGTGTGTGGTTACGCGAGTTTGTGGTTGCATGTATGTATGTTGAACTGCTTTCGCAGCGTACATGCTGATCGGAGGTCGCGCAGTTGTTAGCGCGTGATCCCGGCGACCCGAGTTCGATTCTTGCCACGAGCGATGAACATCCGAAACTCCCCGCGGTCTCGACGCGGTCTAAACATCACCACTCGGGAGGCGGCTGCGGTGGTGCTACGCTGGTTCAAATATTTGTCACTTATGTTGGCAATGAACAGGAATCGAACTCGGGGTCGTAGCGGACTACACTACCCTTCCCCACGATGAAACATACACGTTGACATACCCACACACACAACAACAACAACAACAACCGCCATTCGCCACTAAGTGGCGGTGACGTCACCACGATGCTTGTGCCAGGCCAAGTGCACCTTGAGGCCACGTGAAGTGTCGAAAGCCCGCTGGCAGGAGGTCACGGGGCAGACCCAGGTGCCACTGGTCGACTGACCGAGATGACCGAGATGACTGGCTGATGCACCACCTGTGCCCCCTACTGTGCCAACTTGCTGTGCTTTAGCCACCCGGCGCTCCGCTCGTTGTTGTGAGCGTCGCTCCTCCGCCCTCCGTTGTTGTTGGAGGGCGACTGCCTCCAACTGCACACACACGGGGACAGACACAGATCCCCCAGCACGTCACACGAGAGGGTAGGTGGCCACAAACACGCCCGACCGCCTTTGTCTCTCCAGTGGCGATGTTTACACACCGCACCAGGTACTCATTTGAGGTTGGAGACCCATGACCGGTTCAGATAATCGTCACTGGTGTTGACCGAATTGAACTTGGGTCGCCAGATTCGTAGCGCAGCGCGCAAACCGTTACACTACACACACACATTGAGACAGGCACATACACACACATTTAGACAGGCACACACACACATTGAGACAGACACACACAGATAGACACTCAGAGAGATAGACAAACAGACACTGAGATAGACAGACACACACAGATACTGAGACACACAGTGAGACAATGACACAGACAGACACTGAGACACACACACAGACACGCGCATACACTGGGGTAGAGGAACACACACACACTGAGACACACACACACTGAGACACATACACACACTGAGACACACACACTGAGATACACACACACTGAGACACACACACACACTGAGACACACACACACTGAGACACACACACACTGAGAGACACACACACTGACACACACACACTGACACACACACACACACTGAGACACACACACTGACACACACACACACTGAGACACACACACACTGAGACACACACACACTGAGATACACACACACACTGAGACACACACACACTGAGATACACACACACTGAGACACACACACACACTGAGACCCACACACACTGACACACACACACACTGAGAGACACACACACTGAGACACACACACTGACACACACACACTGAGACACACACACACTGAGACATACACACACACTGACACACACACACACTGACACACACACACTGAGACACACACACACTGAGACAAACACACACTGAGACACACAGACACACTGACACACACACACTGACACACACACACACACTGAGACTCACACACACTGAGACACACACACACTGAGACATACGCACACTAAGACACACACACACACACTGACACACACACTGAGACACACACAAACACACTGAGACAAACACACACTGAGACACACACACACACACTGACACACACACACTGACACACACACACTGTCACACACACACTGAGACACACACACACACTGAGACACACACACACACTGCCACACACACACACACTGACACACACACACACTGACACACACACACTGAGAGACACACACGCACTGACAGAGCGCGGCGGGTGCGTGGAGCCGCGACTTCCCCACGCGCTCCGCCTCCGTCTGGGAGGTCCCCCCCCGCGCCTCCCCCCACGGCACAAAGCGCCTTTTAGCGAACTCTCAAACGGCGCCTGTGTGGTAGCAGCTTCTGCTCGCGACGTCGCCGCGACCCATACGAACATCAACACCATCAACATCACCAACATCAACATCGTCATCACCAACATCATTATTGGAAATGTCATCGTCATCATCATTAAATAATTCTACTTTTGCTCCCATTCAAGGAAAGCTTGTTACACTCGTGTCTATTACAACTTTCATAGCAGTGCTGTTTGTTGCTGACCGGCTGCTTGGCGTTCTGGGACCTTCGACCATTGCTTGCTTGGCAAACGTGATTTAGTGTGCGCGTGTTTTTAATCGCCAACAAATCATCAGCATCGTCATTAACGTCATCATCATCAATAATCAACATCATAATCAGCAGCATCATCATCATTAACATCGCCTATATCGTCAACAGCATAACCAACATCGTCATGAATATCAACAACAGCTTGAATATCATCAACATCACCATCAATATCACCTTCATCATCACCATCAATATCACCTTCACCATCATCATCATCACCATCAATATCACCTCATCATCATCATCACCATCAATATCTCCTTCATCATCATCATCACCATCAATATCAATATCACCTTCATCATCATCATCAACATCAATATCACCTTCACCATCATCATCATCACCATCAATATCACCTCATCATCATCATCACCATCAATATCACCTTCATCATCATCATCACCATCAATATCACCTTCATCATCATCATCACCATCAATATCAATATCACCTTCATCATCATCATCAACATCAAAATCACCTTCATCATCATCATCACCATCAATATCTCCTTCATCATCATCATCATCACCATCAATATCACCTTCATCATCACCATCACCATCAATATCAATATCACCTTCATCATCATCATCAACATCAAAATCACCTTCATCATCATCATCACCATCAATATCACCTTCATCATCATCATCACCATCAATATCACCTTCATCATCATCATCACCATCAATATCACCTTCATCATCATCATCAACATCAAAATCACCTTCATCATCATCATCACCATCAATATCACCTTCATCATCATCATCAACATCAATATCTCCTTCATCATCATCATCACCATCAAAATCACCTTCATCATCACCATCACCATCAATATCAATATCACCTTCATCATCATCATCAACATCAATATCTCCTTCATCATCATCATCAACATCAATATCTCCTTCATCATCATCATCACCATCAAAATCACCTTCATCATCATCATCACCATCAATATCACCTTCATCATCATCATCAACATCAATATCTCCTTCATCATCATCATCACCATCAATATCAATATCACCTTCATCATCGTCATCAACATCAAAATCACCTTCATCATCATCATCACCATCAATATCACCTTCATCATCACCATCACCATCAATATCAATATCTCCTTCATCATCACCATCACCATCAATATCAATATCTCCTTCATCATCACCATCACCATCAATATCACCTTCATCATCACCATCACCATCAATATCACCTTCATCATCATCATCACCATCAATATCTCCTTCATCATCACCATCAATATCAATATCACCTTCATCATCACCATCAATATCAATATCTCCTTCATCATCACCATCACCATCAATATCACCTTCATCATCACCATCAACATCAATATCTCCTTCATCATCACCATCAATATCACCTTCATCATCATCATCACCATCAATATCAATATCTCCATCATCATCATCATCACCATCAATATCTCCTTCATCATCACCATCAATATCAATATCACATTCATCATCATCATCACCATCAATATCAATATCACCTTCATCATCATTATCACCATCAATATCAATATAAATATCACCTTCACCATCATCATCAACATCAATATCACCTTCCTCATCACCATCAATATCAATATCACCTTCATCCTCATCATCACCATCAATATCAATATCACCTTCATCATCATCATCACCATCAATATCAATATCACCTTCATCATCACCATCACCATCAATATCTCCTTCATCATCATCATCACCATCACCATCAATATCACCTTCATCATCATCATCACCATCACCATCAATATCACCTTCATCATCACCATCACCATCAATATCAATATCTCCTTCATCATCACCATCACCATCAATATCACCTTCATCATCATCATCACCATCACCATCAATATCAATATCTCCTTCATCATCACCATCACCATCAATATCACCTTCATCATCATCATCACCATCACCATCAATATCACCTTCATCATCATCATCACCATCACCATCAATATCAATATCTCCTTCATCATCACCATCACCATCAATATCACCTTCATCTTCATCATCACCATCACCATCAATATCACCTTCATCATCATCATCACCATCAATATCACCTTCATCATCATCATCACCATCAATATCACCTTCATCATCATCATCACCATCACCATCAATATCAATATCTCCTTCATCATCACCATCACCATCAATATCACCTTCATCATCATCATCACCATCAATATCACCATCACCATCAATATCAATATCACCTTCACCATCACCATCAATATCAA